TGTTCTTCCTAACGTTTCGCCAGTCTCTGTGGCCGGCATCTTCAGAGCACAGAGTGCTGTCCTCTGAAGATACCGGCCACAGAGACTGGCGAAACGTTAGGAAGAACAACCTTCAAAGAGCCCGAAAAGAGCCCGAAAAACCCAGAACAACCAGTAGGGTGATGCCTTTATTGAATCGCTAAAGATTCCCAGTGTGATTTAGTGGACAGAGTGATGTTCCCAGTGTGATTTAGTGGATAGAGTGATGCACTGGGACTCTGGAGAAAAGGGTTCGAATCCCTGCTCAGCCATGGAAGCTCACTGGGGAGTGCAACTGGTTAAAATTACTCTAAAAACATATCACTTTCCTTGAAAGCCCTATTAGGGTTGCTGTAAGGCAGTTCTGACTTGACGGCATAGAACACACACAAACAACACAAATTGCAAGCAATCATGGATAAAATCCCATTTCCTGAGGCTGTGTACCACCCCTTCACAGATAGTACAGAAAAACTGAAAACTGCATTTTCAAGTATGCATAAAGGACAAACATTTGTGTGTGTGAACATCCTCACTTTTGTTAGTGGTGTGCCCTTTTTTTCAGTCCGTGGGATGACCTCGTAAATAGGGAGGGAAAGTAAGCTCTTCCTGGTCCTCCATTAACTGAGACATTTCAAGTTTAAACCTTCAACCCGACAGAGAGCCAAGCTTTCTGAGAGAAATATGGGCCTGTCCTGTGGAAAACTATGTGGGAGGAGGGGAGGGAAGGAAATTAAAAGAAAGGAAACAACTACTGAGGTGCATGTTATACATGCCTGTCTACGATGGTAATGACGGCTCTAAGGATGTGACAAGGTCAGGGTTCACAAACAAAACAGTGATAAAGGACTATCAACTGTCAGAGCTGCAAAAAATGAGGGAAAAAAGAAATGAAATGGAGGTGTTTTTTGGTTAATTAAAAGGATTTCTTTCTCACTCCCCCCCTGCCCTGTCTTCTTTTTGCCTTAGAATCAAAGAGCCAGTGGATGAAGAAATCTGCAGAAATTATCTAAGGCCGCCTCAACCTTAGCATTTATTATTCAACACCTCACTCATTGCCCTGATTATAAATATTTAATCACTCAACAACTGTAAGTGCTTGTGTCTTCCTGGAGGACCTGCAAGCATTAGGAAATAAAGGGAGAGGAGGGAAGTGGCGGGCGGGCGGGCGAGCGTGTGGGGTGTGTGCGCGCACACAGTGGTGATGGTGTTAGTGGTGAAGGAAAGCAAGTCACAGAGCCTAAAAGAGGTTTTAAGATGAGGTCAAGAGAAACCAAACGGTGTGAAGCATGCTCCAACACTTCTTCTTATTCGTCTTTTTTTTTAAGAAAATGAGGATTGTTAAACCCCAGAATCCATGGGAAATCATGGTGTTTCTGGACTTTGTGTGTCTCTGTGTGCACAATCGGGATTTAAAATTCCTGGATATGAGTTTGTAAATGCATGATGTTTCTGTTTATCTGGTTATGTGTGTGAGTGTGGATGTGTGAAAGAATTCAAGATTTACAAGTAAAGAGAGGTTAACTTTTCTGTGTTTGTGTCTCTGTGTGCGTAAGCAGGATTCACAGACTCCTAAACACTAATTCACCCAGCTTCTGTTCTTCTTCTGGAATATGTCTGTCTGTCTGTCTGTCTGTCTGTCTGTCTGTCTGTCTGTCTGTCTGTCTGTCTGTCTCTCTCTCTCTATCTCTCTATCTCTCTATCTCTCTATCTCTCTATCTATCTATCTATCTATCTATCTATCTATCTATCTATCTATCTATCTATCTATCTATCTATCTATCTATCTATCTATCTATCTATCTATCTATCTATCTATCAAATGGCAGTTTCTGACAGTGGGTGCCCTCAAGACCAGGCAGCAAATATTCTTAATGAAAGCAAGAGCCCCAAGCAGTGAGAGGTGCCATCCATGTACCCTCCTTTGTCTGTCACAAAAAAAGAAGGCTGGCTTGGCAGGCTTTTGGACCTATCAATAATGCATGAGAAGGATTGCATCCTCTCCGATGCCAGGAAAAAGGGGGAAACAGCTGAGAAGGGTTGTGTTACAGCACCCTGAACACAAATGCCATACCCATACTTTGTGTAAAATCTAGTCTCCCTCCCACCCACGTTTACTTACTGGCTTACTTAGTTTTGAGGGGCTTGTGGCACCTTTTGCTTTTCTCCCATGTACTTGCAAACCAGCTTGTTGTTGTTTGTTGTGGTGAGTAGCACTGGCTACCTGTTTACTCATCGTGTTGGTTGTGTTAGTCTCTGCAAGCATATCAGACAAGAAACAAAACAAAAATAAAAATGTTGTGGCACCTTAAAGATTAATTGCTGTATTTTAGAGGTGAACTTTTGTGGATCAAGTTCTCTTCCCATGACATTACATTGCTGATGTAATGGCCACTGCAAACAATGCTCCTTATGAGATCAAAATCTAAAACCATTTATGTCCTTTGATGAGTTCTTTGGTGCCTGATGTTTGCTTCCTAGAGTAAATTCACACATGTATATACCTGGCAGAGTTTCCCCATTTGATGGCAAACATTATTCTCTACACTGTTATTGGTGTCATGCCAGAAAGAGATGTTAGAGATAGCCCGTCATTAGAATATTGCAGAAAGGTTACTGAAGTAGTCATTTGGGATTTGCAAAATGAGACTTTAAAGGAATACTATGCTTAAGTCCTGATCACCAAATGCAAAACAAAGCAAGCCAATGTACTTGTCCCCTGATACAAGAGAAGTACTACAATGACATTCAGATGCTTTCATTAGGTAAGGATTTTGCTCTTCTACAGTGGACCCTTGACTTACAGATGGCTTGACTTACAGACTTTTTGACTTGAGAACCGCCTTCCAATACGGATTAAGTTCTCAAGTCAAGAACCCACTGTAATAGTAGGCCATCTCTAACATCAGTTTCCAGCCTTATTCTCCAAGATGGGAAAAATCATTTTTTTGGCCACTGCTCCTAAAATTCTTCAAAGCTCAAAATATAGGGAGAAATGTCCTCCATAACTCCTAGAGGTACAAGGGCACCTTTTGAGCCAACAGACCACACGTTTCTCCTTCCTAGTCTAGATAAGTGTGTAAAGAAACTTTTCTAAAACAGCTTCCTCTGCTCCTATCTCTAGTTCTAATCTCCATCTCAGTCCTCAGTTTACAGAATCAGATATTATTGATCTATATTCTACTAAACACATATTTAATGCAGCCTGCCTTGAGAGGGTTTGTCCTGAGAGGCAATGCAGATGGGTGCTGTAGTAGTTAGAATTTTGGACTAGGACGGAAAGATCAGAGTTCAAATCTTCATTAGCCATGAAACATGCTGGGTGACCTGGGACCAGTTATATTTCCTTAGCATAACCTACCTCACAGTGTTGTTGTGAGAATCAAGTGGAGGAGAACCATGTATGCCACCTAGAGCTATATACTGTATATAAAACTCCTAGAATTCTGGGAGTTAACACTCAAAAAATGCAGCCCTTCCTATCTCTGAATAGGGAGACGATCCTTTCCCTTCTTTACTTGCAATGTCAGTTAATATTTCATGAGACTGAAGCAGCAAAGTCAATGACAACAAGGATTTGGTAGTGGACATTTACCAGTCCTAGACACTAGAATTAAGCCTACTTTATTCTCTAAAGGCAGGCTTTTTAAGGCAACAGTGACTGAACATTTTTGAGAAGTAAGCTGGAAAAACCACAATGTTGCTGACAGATCCTCAAGTTTAAATATTAGGGCATTCCCATACAGGATAGATTGTATTTGTGGAACAGCAAAAGTTGAAGATCTGGCACATTATCTATGATATTACAAGTTTAAATATTAGGGCATTCCCATACAAGATAGATTGCATTTGTGGGACAGCAAAAGTTGAAGATCTAGCACATTATCTATGATATTGTTAACTATATGCTAATATCAGAAAACTCTACTTAACACCCTATTTGGAGTGTTGGGGGGCTGGAGATGATGAAACTCTACTTAACACCCTATTTGGAGTGTGGGGGTTCTGGAGATGATGAGAGTACAGTGGTGCTCCATTTAACAACGAAACCGCTTGACGTCGATGTTTTTGCGATCGCAAAAGCAATCACAAAACGATGTTTCCTATGGGGGAATTTCACTTTGCAACAATCAGTTCCCTGCTTCGAGAACCGATTCTCGCAAAGCGATGATTTTTTAACAGCTGATCGGTGTTTTCAAAGTGGCCATCCACTGTTTTCTAGGATGGATTCTAGGCGAAAATGGCCACGCTATGGAGGATCTTTGCTGGACGGTGAGTGTCCAGCCCATAGGAATGCACGACGGTGAGTTTCCAGCCCACAGGAATGCACCAACCGGGTTTTAATGCGTTTCTATGGGCTTTTAAAAATCGCTTTACATTTTCATTCTACAGCAATTTCACTGGAACGAATTAACGTTGTAATGTGAGGCACCACTGTAATTTGACTTATTTATTGCAAGGAGATAACCCCCATTTAACTTGTAAAGTGGCAATTTTTGCTGTAAAAGCAGCAATCCTGAGGAAACAAGGTCAATAAGGGGTCTGTTTAGTTGAGGTATGGCACTAAAGAGGTTCACTACTTACATATAACCACCGAGAGGTTACCTGGAGTATCAATGGGGTTTGTTTTAAATAGTTGCTTTAAAGGTAGTTTTTATGTGCATTTATTCTTGTTTATTATCATTTTACACATTTATTTTTATTTATATGTTTTGCGATGTAATATTGAAATGGTCTGTTGACTTATTCAATAAAAATGTGTGATGATGAAATAGTAGGGAACACAGGTACCACATGATTCTTTGGATATGCCACTGGGCTTATGCACTTCACACAGGATCAGGGCAGTTTCTGTGACTCACCCCTATCTTTTCCAGACTTATTTCCCTGGCATCACTGAGAAAGCTAATCAGCAACCTGAAAACCCAGCCATGGAAAAATGGTCAGATTCTGCTTTGTGTAGTCTTTCACCTCCTCCCTGTCTCCTCTCTGTGCCTGAGGTTGGCCACAGTGTAAGCCAGGAGAATCTTTCTGCTGCTGTGCCAACCATCCATTCCTTCTGCCAAGACTTTCCCTGCATTTCTCTGGCTGCTGTGTAAAAAGGGCAGATCTAATGAGATGACATCAAGCATCTGCTTTTGTCTGTTCCACTGGCACAAGCAATTATGGATGCAATTTCTATTTGCACATCAAAAATTCCACAGTGGGAGGATTTTCCAGCTTCTGGTGATTTTTTTTTCTGCTAAATTCAGATGACTGGGAGTTAGGTTTGTAAAGGCTCCCTCCATATGAAAGTGTCTGCAACAAGATCCAGGTTTGCTGATTTGTTGACCATTTGTGCTAAGGATGAACAAATCTGTCAGTTTAGTTTTCTCTGTGTGTTCCATTTTTCCTTCATTAGGTTTGGTGGCCTGACTTTGAGAGTTTACCATTTGAATGATGCATGAAAATAAATATGTATTTTTGTGCATTTTTCTGCAATACTTGCATTTTTGAATGAAGTTTGCTCAATAGACCTAACATCAGTTTCCTGTATACGAGAGGAGATCTATATATATAAAGGGAGTGATTCTCCTTGAACACTCGATTGTTAGATGTCCAGGGAGATTTTGGGCTGATTAGATGTCACTCTCTTTTTCCTTTCGTACCAGTGGGTCAGTTCCCTGTTTTAATTTAGATTTCCTCAGTTGAACTCTTTGGCTGATTTTAACCCTACAAATGCCAATGGGATACTAAAGACCCATGAAGGTACAATTCTGCATTCCACCCTATAGACATTCTGGAATTACAAATTACTCTGATTTGGTCCAATTTTCCTCAGTTGTCCAAGGACAGCGCACATCCCTATATCAAATCAATATTTCAGTCTAGTCTGCAAGTGACAGAATCAGTTTCATGAAATCTTATGTTTCGTGGTAATGCTGAAAAACACAAACTTTCCTGACAGAGAAACTCTTCCGTTTAAAGCAAAATGTCTGTGGCCCAAAGAAATTTGGGCCACAGTTCGAACGCTTTCTGCACTCAAACAAGGACACATCAATGTCCTCTTTTTCTACCACATGATATTCTAGTGGCTAAGATGATAAAAAGTAGACTTGATAATGCTTGGTTTTAGTGGATTTGTAGTTTGCTATACCCTGAGAGTGTTCGCCAATGGTTTCTCGTTATACTGGAGAGAAGTGAAGGTTCAATTCTGGGCCCAGTGTCGTTCAACGTCTTTATAAATGACTGGGATAAAGTGTGGAAGAAATGCTCATGAAACTTGCAGATGATACCAAACTAGGAGGGGTAGCTATACTGCAGAAGACAGAATTTGGATTCAGGATTATCTGATCAGACTGGAGAACTGGCCAAAAAAACCAAAGGTGTTTCAAAAGGGATTTATTGTAAAACTGGCTTGACACAAGTATATGTGAAAAGGAATCTTAATAGATCTAAAGCTTAACACAAGTCAATCATGTGATGCAACATGAGGGGAAAGCATATGAAATATTTGGTTGCATTAAGAAAGTTTTAGTGGCCAGATCAAGGGATGTAATGGTATTACTTTTACTGCTTTAAGGAGAATCAACTTGGAATACTGATTCCAGTTCTGGAATCAATTTAAGATGGATATTGACAAGCTGGAACATGTCCAGAGAAAGTGACCAGGATCGGAAAAGGTCTGGAAAGCAAACTGTATGAGGTACAGTGAGGGAGGTGGGTATATTTAACCTGAAGAGAAGAGTGAGAAGCAATATGATAGCCAGCTTCAAACACCGTATCCCCCATTATGAGCCAGCTCGGGTGTCAAGATCACCAGGATAAGCATTTCTCATGATCCCATCAACTTCACAGGTGTATCTGATGGGGACACAGGAGAGGGCCTTCTCTGTCATGACTTCCAGACTTTGGAACTCCTTCCCACAGGAAGCCAGACTGGCTCCAACTTTGCTGTCCTTTCGCAAAGAGGCAAAAAACTTAATCTTCAGGGGAGCCTTCCCTCTGTAATCAGCTGTGTGGTTTTTTTAGACAGATTGTTATGTATTTCTGCTTTGACTAGCTTTTTAGTACTACTTGTGTTTTCCATTTCCCAGCATAGTTTTTTCTTTTTAACATTTGTATACTTTTGTTCTTAGTCTTAATGTTGCCTTTTAATGATATAAGCTGCCTCTTTATAATCAGTGTTCTCAGCTTTAAATATTGTCTTTTAATGATGTTAACCACCATTGTATACTCATTGTTTTCAACTTTAAATGTTGTCTTTCAATGTTGTAAGCTGCCATGAGTCCTTCTCAATGAGAAAGGGAAAAATCAATCAGTCAATCAATCAATCAACCAACCAACCAACCAACCAAGGAACCAACCAACCCAAAACAATGGATTCAAATTACACAAAAAGAGATTTTACCTTAATGTTAGGAAGAACTTCCTGGCAACAAGAGCTGTTCAGCAATGGAATTGAAGCTATGGATTTCCTGCTTTGGCAGGCATTGGACTTGATGACCCCTGGGATGACTCAGGATGAACATTTCTACACTTCTATGATTCTCTCTAAATGTTCATCCTGAGTAAACACCATATCATAATCCCAACAGCCACCTCACTTCCTATACAGTGCATAATTACCGGTGTGATGCAGCTGAAATTAGTGTAAACAGCTACAGACAACATATTTGTATCACATTCCTATCAAGTGTTGCATTGTCTGTACTTACCCAGTGCAAATCATCTGTCATTGGATGTTGTGTTTCTTGGACCTATAGGTTTTCTCTCTCTTCTTCTTTAGATTATTAAATGGTGGGATATACCTTGTCTGTTTACCTGGGGTGGAAGTTAAGGTACAAAAAGAGTGCATCAATTTGCCCATTTTTTCAAAAAAGGGGGTTTGATCTATGGTTTGCATTTCTCGGTTTTGGTACCATAGTATTGCTGCTGCTGCTGCTGCTGTTGGCCTTTTAACTTTAAAGCATTTCTCTGCTTTTTGAAACTGGTGAACACATATGTTGCCAATGTTAAGCAAAGAAGATCTGTCTTTACTGGACTGTTATGATAACTATTTTTTAAAAAATCTCCTGTATAAATAAACTGCTCAAACAGTCAAAAGAAACAAAGCATTGTGGATTCTCACCAACTTGTCCCTCGCCTTTGCATCTCTATGGAGCCACACCAACTCACAAAGAAGGTGGGATTGCTATTTCAGCCTCTTTCTTTAAGACGCATGCAGAGTACATAATCCAGAAAGAATTAGGAAAAGACCCTAATGTGACTCATAGTAAGTGTGCTGCTCAAATTTCATTTCTTGGAAACACATTCCAAAATCAGGCATGTCCCATCAATAGCTAGTTCTATCCAAGAGTAGAAAAGTATAATTTTCACCTCATAATTTGCTGCTATGCTTTATACATTTGGATAAAAAGCACAAGTAGAAGCCTCAGAAATTAAGAAAATGGCAGCATTGAGAGGCAGAACTGCAGCATCAGTGAATAACTGCTGTAATGAAAAGTTCATTTAAAAAAAAGATGGGACCCAGTATCTACCATTCATTTCTGTGGGGGAGATAACATGGATAACCCATCATCAACTGTAACTATATGTGGCTAGAGTCATCATATAATACAAGTACCAACTGACTGTGCCTCTACTTGCTATATTTAAGTCAATCATCATTTAGCAGATACCTTACTGGGAAGATCATACATAATTAGCTCACATCAAGGTATTCCCAAGTCTTTTGATACATCTGCAGTTATCTTGGAAGCAAAGGACTTCATCTTTCCCAGCAGTTACTGAACTGATAGGAACCGTTATTGTTGCTCCAGTTGTCTGGTACAAATGTATATGTACAATCCTTCTTGGAAACGTACTAACATTATTGCCCCAGTCACCCCATTTTGATGACAGTGAGTTCAAAGAAGCAGTGTGTAACGTGAATGAGCCAGATTCAACCCTGTATTTACTCAGCATTGTATCATTTCTTAAACCTGCATGGCCAACATTGCACGTGGTTTAGTTGGAGGGGAAGAGAAGTCATGAGATGGGAGTTTTTAAGTACCAAAAATTAGTCTGATTGAATAGACAAAGAGGAGAAGGAGAGGAGCATGTGCTAGCTGATGAGTGGGGTATCCAGCCAGGGAGGCGGGGGAAGGGAACATGTGGCAACTGTGGTGCTGCACATACAAACTGGCGCAAACCTCCAAACTGATATTCGTGCCCATCTCTAACCATAGGTAAAATATGTATACATATTGCAAACTGTAAAGTATAAATGAATATTGGGATTTGACAATAAGTACTGAGACCAGGGAGTGCCTGACCACCTTACCTATCTCCTGAGAAATCTATATGTGGGACAGGAAGCAATAGTTAGAACTGGATATGGAACAACTGATTGGTTCAAAATTGGGAAAGGAGTACGACAAGGCTGTATATTGTCTCCCTGCTTATTCAATTTATATGCAGAATACATCATGCGAAAGGCCGGACTGGATGAATCCCAAGTTGGAATTAAGATTGCTGGAAGAAATATCAACTACCTCCGATATGCAGATGATATCACTCTGATGGCAGAAAGTGAGGAGGAATTAAAGAACCTCGTAATTAGGGTGAAAGAGGGGAGCGCCAAAAATGGTCTAAAGCTCAACATCAAAAAAACTAAGATCATGGCCACTACTCCCATCACCTCCTGGCAAATAAAAGGGGAAGATATGGAGGCAGTGACAGATTTCACTTTCTTGGGCTCCATGATCCCTGCAGATGGGGACAGCAGCCACAAAATTAAAAGACACCTGCTTCTTGGGA